CTTTAATGATTTCTAGATGTCTAGAATGAAGACATTTGGGTAACTAATCTCTGAATTTGAGAAGAAGTTGTTAATATCAGCCTTCTAGACCATGGGGAAGAAATTTCTTTTTCAGACAACAGATCTTTTTAGTAGTTTCCTGAAATCAAATAAGGTGATAGAAATGTCAATGAAATGTAGATGACCAGCAGAGTAATTTTTAAAATATCACCCATCTATTAGTAAAATTGAATGCCTGAATCTGTTTCACAGTTACTAATTTACTTCTCTTATTATTATTCCCTGGATGATCTACATCTGAAAGATGATTTAGCTACGCAATCTGCAGCATGTTACTGGAAATGCAAAAGTCTATATACATATAGAGATTATCTTCTCAATGCTCTGAGATAAATTAAGTTTGATATGCAGCTGCTTTATAATATTTCTTCATCATATTTCTGAAAGCTTTAATCTCTACTATAAACCTATTGTAATACTCCACATAGTAATCTTCATCCCTCCAAGGAAAAGTGCATTATTACAATAGCATATTAAGATTTTGCTTTCCTTTCAGATTTACTGATAGCCTGTCACAGTGGCATTTACATCTACAGGTGAATTCTATTCATATAATTTAATTTTTCTTCCCCAAACAACAAACAGCTATGATGCAGAAGATAACTACTGCTATTATTAGACAGAAAATATAATACTGTAGGAAAGACAAAGATGCTTCTAAAAAGAGGTTTTTAAATAATATAATCTGTCAGTTCACTATACGTGATGCAGACAGATGATCTATCCAGAGAAGGGCTTTTTTATTTTCAATTAGCAATGGTTAATTTGTGAAAAAATATAAATTTCAGAGGATCAAAGCTATATGAATTTGAGTTGAATTCATTAAAGAATTATTGATAATAAAAAGAAACTTCAAATATCTTGAATATGTTCCTTTGAAGATATTAAAATATTTCTCATCAGAAATGCAGAAACATTTATTTTTCATTTCATATTTTCTGTTTACAAGTTGACCTAGATTATATTAGAGACAAATAATTTTAAAAATTAACCAAAAGGTTTTATTTTGAGTTTTAAGAAATATTTTAGATTTTTCTCTTGCATATCCCTCATACTCACATGGGATACAATTTATCTGTGTTAATTTTGCTCTGTTGGCTAGCAGAAGGTATTTCTTAAAATAGAAGATTCCCCTGCGCAGATGTGAATAATTTATTTGCTTCGCGTCTATTTAAGCACTGGATCCAACCCATGCTACTTAGTAAAACCACTGATATGAACCTCTACAAAGGTGGAATTTATATTCAAAGCAGGGGATTAAAAAATATGTGGTTGACTAGAGATCGCACTCAGGTACTCATTTCCCCATTACTGGCATCTCTATACTTGGGAGTCAAGAAATACTTCAATACTTCGAAGTACTTAACTTTATATATGAGGGTCTTGTCAGCAAACGTTGTGGCTTTTTTCATTTAGCATAGGAATCCTGTGATTAAAAAAAGAGTTTTGCAAATATAAACCCAATGATAAACCTACACACTGACTTGGTAACATTTTTGCATCTTTCTATAGATTAAAATAATTGTGACATCGATCCTGTTGTCTGTAGGTAAAGAGGCGTGGCAGACTGGTGCTGTAGAAAGCAAATGGATGCACCAAGCATCTCTCTATCCTTCTTTCTCTTTCTTCCTTGTAAACTAGCACTCTCAACTCCAAAACCCCATAGAACACAGGACCTTCCTCTTCCACAAGTGAAATAATTTTGTCCCAAATTAGAATTAAGTATTTCTTTAAAAAACAAATTTTGAAAATGTTTTCCAGAAACCTCAAACAATTTAAAAGATATATTCTTTCCATTTATATTATTATGAAAAGAACAGCTGGCTTCCCCTTTCAACGTTCAAGGAAACTGTTTTCAAGAATCCTCCAGTTACACCAAGAGTTGTTAAAGGAGTCCACTAAACACTGATGGTTCTAGATAAAATTGGGGTTTCCATTCTATCTATTTCCTGGAAGTCAGGCTGAAAACTCAGGTAGTATCCATAAAGAATAATCAGGGTCTTCTATGATCATGGTGACAAAACCCCTTTTTTAAAGATACTGTATCTATTCAGACAGAGGATTCTTTATTAATGCATTTAATATCACATTGAGAATGAAAATAAAATTACAATTCACTACTTTCAATCTCATTACTTATACTATTTACAAGATTATACATGCACTTTTTGACATTTATGTAAAAGTGACCAAAAATATATTTTGACATATTTACATGTGTATCTCTGCACTTGTGCACCTCTAAGATGCATATGAATCACTGACAGAATAGTTATTTTTTCTGAAGCTTGTTGTATTCTTATATGTTTAACCAAATATTTATATTTTCAGGATTAAATAATTTTTTTAACTGAAATGCAAGAGTAAATGTGCAGGCCTCATGAATGCATAATGTTGTTCACTGATGATCAGCTATCCTTTATCAAAATTCTCATATATTCATGGGAAGCGCTCTGATTTATAGGGGAACAAACTTTAAGGGCACAATTTGGCTCTCTGTGACTTCACAATGAGAGTCCTAAGTAAGAGAAAGTTGAATAAATGTTTTATGGAATAGGTAATGGACTAAACCAGTAAATATTAACAGGATTTTTTTTTTTCCCAATATCCAATTTTGTCACTCATGGACAATAAATTTAAATAAAGTGGAAACTTTGTTGACTTAAATCAGAACAGTAGAATGGCAGTCAGTATATTATTTCTTGTTATGCCCATGCTCTGCATGTCACTGACTTCAGCATGTGTC